AGTGTCAAGCTACAGTCGTTGTAAGCGCTGTGCTCTTGCTGTTCTGTTGCACTGCGTGGTTTAATCAGGTAACTTAGTGCCGTTTCATCACTTGGCTTTCAGTGTTTGTTTCCCATGCGCTACAGTAAATTTTTTTTAGCAACGTCATATGACCCCTTTAAACAATTCGCAGTGCAATTGGGCATTTATATGAACGTTTCTCTGAGGGGAACTGACTGTTCAGAAAAGTTTAGATTGTATTTTATTTTTGCATTTTAAGTTGTGTTTATTAGCACAGAGTTGCTTTGTTTACAGCGGTAACCCTGGAAACACTATATGACTGCTGTTTCACAAGCGCCACCTGCTGGCAGAGAGTGAACGTGCATCTCATTCAGTCCGTCTGTTGTTTCTGTTTCATTAAGATGTTATGCAGTATAGTTTCACAAAGCTAAAATCAGACCATTCTGTTTTTGCTTCAAATTCTGAAACTGTACAATCTAACCCTTATGAAAATGAAACCTGGTTTTACTACAAATAAAACCAAAAACCATGGTTAATATAGTTCTAGCACGCAGAACCTGATTTTACCAAGTGTGACATGTTCCTGGATCAACATCTTTGTTGACCCTGGAACAAGGTGGTGATTAACCAATCAGATTTGAATCAATACACACAGATGAAGCCTTAGTTTGTTTATATGAAGACATTTATTTATTTATTTATTTGATTTGGGATTCATTTAATATTTCACTTTATTTTTGCTTTTTGACATTTCAATTTCACAAAGAAATGTGCAGCATTTTGTCTGAGAAATAATAAAAGGACACTTTTTCATTTACAATTTGTCATAAACCTCATTTTGTCAAAAAAAAAAAAAGAATCATGAGAAAATCGTATTGTGAAATCAGTATCATGAATTCTATCGCATTGTGGGTCGAGTGAATGGTTACATGCCTACTGTTGACTATTTTCTGTTACTGCTTTAGTCACATGAATGATATAAACTGAACTTGCTCTTGAACTAAAACCACTGGCTTCAACTAAACTCTTCATGTCATCTGTGTGAGTTAACAGATAGAGATGGAGTGTAGAAATGAGATAACACAGAGAAAACTGCTGGAGTATCAGAATCCAGATAGGAAATAAATCAACAGGACAGAGAGAAAAATGGAGGCCAGAAATGAGACACAAACCAGTGAAACACAAGAGAAAAGCAGACGGACGCTTGTTAGATGTGACAGTATGAAGATAAAAAAACCAGACTGTAAGTGTTTGTTCATTATGGAAATTCTAGTCTTCACACACCTGTCTTAAAGTTTCACATTCAGACAGATTCATCAGATTTTCTGTAAGATGAAAGTTTACAGATGTGTGAATGTATGTAAACGACAGAATGTATTATAGATTGAGAACACAAAACAAATCCAAAACAATGAGGATAATCTGATTATGTTTGTGATTTCCAGTCTCACGTGATCCAGACGGACCTGTAAACTTTCATTCTGATGAAACTTCAGCATGTTCTCAAGAACACACAGCATCCCTGAGACAGCAGCAGCTAAACACAACACCATCATGATCACAGACTCCATCCATCCACACTATAGTCTGGTCAGATCCTCAGGGACTCTTTCATCTTTTAATCCTGATCTCTGTGAGATAATTATTCCTTCACTAATAAACCTCTCAATGAGTAAAATTGGTTGCATCTATTATTATAGATTATACAACATTTGTATTATTTTCAGAATAGTTAAAAAATTATAATCTTTCAAAATTATTTTTCTGGTTCAATAAGTAAGAAAGTAGCAGTGGTTGGGACAGATTTTCAGTATTACCTTCACTTAAAATTCAATTCAATTCAATTCAAGTTTATTTGTATAGCGCTTT